AATATGTACCAATCAGCTTTAAGATTTTGCCTTCGTTTTAGATGCCAGTAAAACCATACACTAACGTTCCTGGTAAAGGAAATATCTGCGGACGCTCATTCTTGTCATAAAGATTTTCTTCTGGCTCATTAACGTTAATTATCACTCTAAATTTATAGTCTAGAGCTAGATTTGTCATTGGAAGTCGTAAATCTTTCATCAAGTCATAACAGTATAATTTTTATTAACGTAACGGAATTACTATTTGGAGAAATGATGTAGGATCATGTGCATTTAATTTATTTTTATATAATTAGCGTTAGTATTCTTTTACCATTGTTTCATTTTTCGTAATTAAGCATATTCTAATAAAATGCATACGTATGTATATATGATCCCTTTACAAAAAAAGTAAAGGGTTGCTTAAAAATTTAATACGATAATAAATAAGGAAGGTTCGTCCATAATTAAGTTCACCATGTATCTAGTAACCAATCAATAATCAATATCGATCATTGCTATATGCAGTATCTGCACCCTCACGCCAAACCTTGATCTTTTGGTAATTAATTATAGATTTCTTTTTTTATTGTTTTTTAATTCTTTTATTCATTAGTGTAAAATACATTGCAATATATCGATTAGTGTATGATACTATATAATTTACCAGCAAAAATGAAAATAAATGTCAGGGAATTCTTTGCGTAAGAATTTTAGCGATGTGAGTGCGCAATGCTGTGTAGGTAGATATTTATATTTTTTTCTCTATAGCTTCGAAACAAATAGAGTAGCCAGAATCCATATGTAAGTAATATGTACTTTTTAAATCTTTTTAAATGTAGTGTTTTATAATAAGTGTTTTATAATAATTAATATGTATCTGTTTTCAGCCTCCGATATGGAATTTTTCATCGCATTCTTCAAGTTACAATTCTTATTTATCTTGTATATTCAATTATAAACTCAGAACTTTACCTAAAAAAAGTATTTATATTATATAATACATATTTTATTTGTTATAAATATTTATTGACAAATATTGTTAAAATCTTAGGAACTTCCTGTGCCCGGTGCAATTCGTACGACGCTAAAAGAACCCGATAATCTTGGCACACCTTCTTATTGCACTGAACAATTACCATGCGTTTTTTGGAGTGCTAGTGAAAGTACGCAATTTTATTCTTTAGACCAATTTCGCGATACAAAGTAATAGAATCAAAATATTTGATATGAATTAGAAAAATACTAGCATATAATCAACAATATGAGTGTAAAAAAAGAATATCAACTTATGTGACTATTTGATCTATATGAACCAAAATATTAGAATAGTAAAATTTTCTAAATTTATTGATTTTATACGATATATTCAGTTCAATATCCTTCCGATGGTGCTGGTTATGCGTTTTTTACTACGAGAGCAAGTATAATGAATTATCCTGCATTACCAGGATGTAGTTTCGTAAAAGCTACATCTTTGTCAAATAACTGTTTTATTAAGGAATTAAATAACGCAACTGCAATTCTACCAACTTCTTACATTGCCGGCGTTGAAAATTACACTGTAAGTTTTTATAAATTTGTATTATTTATTATGTGTACAAATTATGATTTTATCGTTATTATTATAGATCATGATTGAGCATTCTATAAGGGGGAAGGCCACATCTATTGCGCTTCGTAACGGAGTGATGGATGGTGAACTTATGTCTTTCGACGGAAAAAGTCTTAAAACCATAACAAATGCTACTAGGGTATCTAAAAATATTTTCAAAAGCGTGCATTTTATTAAACATTTTTCACAGACTTTTTTGGCCCATAATTAGATGGCTTCCAATCCTTATGCTGATGGTGATATCTTTACTGTCCAAGAGCTTCTTGCAGCTGCTGGTGCAAATTTGGACTGTAATGTACACTGGCAATCATAAGTAGTGCAACAAAAAAAAAATTTCACTTACATCATACTACCTCCCGCAATTCCGGGC